CTAACGCAGCACTGTCACGATTGCCAGTCGGTCACAGAGCATAAGCGAATTTCACGATCAGCTAAGCCAAACATAAAATTTGAAATGGGAGAGGCCTAGCTTGTCCTGAAATTCATTTCTGCCGTCTGACTTGCACTCGTGCCAGTGTGACGTAGTGTCAACATGTCAAAATTATACTCCACGTTAGCCTGGTTCAATTCACGCTAGAAGTGCTAGGTCGAAAATACAGTCCCGTCTGGATGAAAATATCGTATTGGAAACAAGATTAAGTAAAGAAGTTGTTTGACCCTGTTTTTGCAACTTGGTCATATTGGTAGGAAGACTTAGAAGAACGCACCTAGTCTGGAATCCATTGTATGCAAGATAATTTTCAGAGTCGGACCGTGGACGTGGTACACGAGAATACTTGATAAGTTTATTATAATTTGATTGCTGCGAGCACAATTACAACCAATTTGTCGATGACTTCCTTATGTCTCTACAGAATAGTATTATGTTATTATGACAGTATATGATCGTTTGTAAGGCCTTAATTCTTTCAAAATGGTTTACCCAATTAAAAGAGCCAATTTTATCCTCGACTGCGCAGGAAAAACGATGTATAATCACTAATGAACTATCAGTAAAACTCAAGTTTATGAATATAGTGCGCAGTTTATTTTGGCTACAAGATAATTTCAATAGAATTTATGTTCCTATTCAAGTTCAAATGAGCCATATGTAAAAATGTACTTGCTAAGTCATGCCATAATTGGCTTGGAGATGGTACACATGGTGTAAGGTAAGCAAGAGCAGCGGATAATAAATGGCTGCTGAATGCCATTAGTTGTTTCCATGTCTTTCTTTCCAGAAAGACTGTCAAGATAAGATTCTCTAACATTGAGAGCCTAGAATTTTCTTATCTAGTAATATTAAGAACAGCAGAGCATAAGAATTTGCGATGCAGTTAAAGGCTAATGATTAGCTAAGTAATACTCAGGTTGATGAAGGTGATATAAGGATAGTATAATTTCCTACGACGAAATGAGATAACCTAACGATGCGGACGAATTTCACTTAGCCATGCTTCCTAAGAGGCCTATCCATCCAGGCTGGACTAGATTTCAGACTTGCTTAAGCCACATCAGCTCTACCGGCAGGATTCGAAACCGTGCCGAGCGCGTCAGGAGATGACACGTTGCTATTCTGCTACAGAGTCACGGGTAACAGTGGGTCAGTAAGCACTGCGAAAATGTCGTTTCTGAAATGAAGTGTAGATTATGCGAAATTGCAAATTAGGTAATAGTGGCGTGTCGCCGCTTGGTGTGCATGACACTATTCGGCATACTGTTAGGGGTGGTGAGGCCCAGGCGGAGTCAAAAATTGTGTTCATCTTAAAAGAAAAGACCTTTTTGGAGGACTAAGTGAAAATCAGTGACATCGTAAGACCTACTCATTTTTAGTGAAAATTCTTTTAAACCCCCTTAAACAACTTAGGGTGACCAAGGTCCCTAGTGAAGGAGGATAAAATTTGATAAGTATGTAGAAGGATCACTTAACAGATTGATGATGGAGTGTCTTTCATTTCGTTTGAAGAGGCAAGTGGAATGAATTGGTAAATTGGCCTCATCGGAAACTGTAGGGGTCACAGAACGGTGTGCAGAGGACCAATTCGCACAAATCTACAACCACAGCTCCAAGGCAATCTCCCTACAGCTTCTGGTGAAGCCAACTTACGAATCGCTCCCACTCGCCTCTTCGAAAGAAATGCAAAGTACTCCAATATGATAAGAAGTCTTCATCGAACTGACACACGACCTAGATGACCAGCACTGAGCTTACTTCTGTCATATGTAAGACATCGGAAGTCTTTTATGACTCTAATAACCAAAATAGACCGATGAGCATTGCAGGCATACAGCGTATTCAAACAAACACCAAAGCAAACGCCGAAACTAAAGGATCTGGTTATAGTTATGCTGATGAAATGGATGTGGCTAAGTCCCCATCGATTCCACTTATCTGCACGTATATAAAGAGGCAAAATCATGAGATTTTACACGAAATTCGAAAAATCAGATTATAGTAAGTCGGTAGACTTGTATCTGCCCCCTATTTATTGTTCAGTGTTGAGCTAATTTTGCCAATGAATGTATTCCTGTATTGGCGACCTGCCAGGGAAAATGAAACATCAACATGGAACCATCGAAGTATCGGGACG